TCGCGCCTGTACCGGGGACCGGCAACGGGATCGCAACCCTTGGTGTTGCGCCCGCACCGTGGTAGCGCCGTCGCGCTCCCAAGCGGCGCACTCTCCAATGCGCCACCGGGCTGGCCCCCTCGTTTGTTTTTATTAAAGTACATAAAAATGTACATGTGTATACAAGTACATATGTATATGTGTGTGCATTAAGATAAAGACCCAAAAGAAAATGTTCTGGAGGGTAACAGTGGTCATTTCTAGGTAGTAACTTTTTGTTAATATTTTTCAAATTAATTGAAATAAATTTTTTATAATGAGGAAAAAAAATTTGGTTTTTAAATAAGCTTTCTTAAAAATGTTATTTGAAGTCAGGTATAGGCAAATGATACTTAATGGTAGTATTGGAGACCATGTGTGTACTCTGTGTGTGTGCTTGGTTTAGCAGTGTGAATAATGCCCTGCTTTCTCATGCATAGAAAATGTGTACCTATATCAGAGCAAGTGTAGAATTAGTCAACTTCAGCTCCATGTAGCTCTAACTAGAGTTCATGCTGTAGGCTAGGTTATTTCTTCCTGTGAGATTCTGAAGAATGCTTTAACCTGAGATCTGTGGCTCATTGTAAATTGAGCTTAAATCTTTATACTGACCATAGAGAGATTTTGATTTCCTGCTTTAGGTCATAGTATCTTAGTACTAAATCCAACTTCCCTGGATTCCTTTGCTCTACACCATTTTGTCTTAGAAGAATTGTCTCTCTCTTTTAACCAGAATAGTCAAAATGGCCATGATTTTTTTTTAACAGTCTCAATCTCAATTTTTATTTAAAATAATATAAAAACCAATTCATTTCTGGTTTTTTACTTTAAAAAAAATTGACCAAAGCTAAATCTTTTGGTTTGCCAATAGCTTCAAAGGTTCGGAGATGAGGTACTATTTTCTTCTGTGTAAGAGTATTTTTAAAAAAGAAGAAATTATGTCACTTTNGTAAGGAAATCCATATCTAAGAGTTTGTCATTTGTCCGAAGTTATACAGCTTGTAACGAGAGCTGTAGTTGAAATAGAGTATCGTCTTAACTCTATATGATCACTTTTGTGGAACAAAGTGAAGTATAAATAAATATATTCTATTAAAAATACAATAAATAACATAAATATCCAACAATGGGGGAATGAATGAATAAATAATGGAAAATCAGAAGACTGGAATACTTTCTTATAATGCTTTGATATAAGAAAATGTTCATGATACAATGTTAAAGGTAAAATAAAAGGCAGGAAGTGATCCTAGTTTGTTTTTTTTTGTTTTTTTTTTTCCTTTTTTTGTCTTTTTTATTGACCGGTAACGGGATCGCAACCCTCGGTGTCGCGCCTGTACCGGGGACCGGCAACGGGATCGCAACCCTTGGTGTTGCGCCTGCACCGTGGTAGCGCCGCCGCGCTCCCAAGCGGCGCACTCTCCAATGCGCCACCGGGCTGGCCCCCTCGTTTGTTTTTA